TATATTGGGCTTTATATAAAAGCTATGGCACAGAATAACAAGTATTTGTTTCTTATTTGGTTGAAAAACTACCATTTTTTTATTTTTAGTTTTTATTAAATATTTTTTCTTTCTTTTTGATTAGAAAATTACGATCAGGTAGGTACATTGGACTTTGTATCGTTCATTAGCAACACTCAAGTCGAATAGAGTGGCAGTTCGTGACTAAATTAAAAATAAATAATTACCACAGTCTTCCTTATCAATTTTATAAAAATATCAAAGTTGTAGAAATAGATATGCCAATATTTGCAAATACTTGTATAATTTCGTAACTATTCTTGTTATAATCTCATAACAACTTTGGATAAAGTAAATCACTCTTACTTTTATTGCAGATAACAAATGTATGTTTTATACAGGGTGATATAACGGCATTTTAAAGTTAACATTTTCTACTATTTACTATTGAGGTTTATCATACAGAGTAGTCTAAAAAATCGTAATTTTAAGGTTTCATAGAATCACATTATTTCTACTGGTCGTTTCTAACATAGTCAACATTCTGAATGAAGTGACTTGAATCAATATTAGAATTCTGCGTTTTTTCTACTTTGAAGTATGTTATATACTAATATGAATAATTCAAGATTACCAAAAACTTGAAATTCCGATTCAAAAAGGAAGTACAAACATTATATTGGACAATATTAACAGTGTATGTAGTTTATGTCAACGTTGAAAGCCATTCAACAAGAAATTATTGCAAATGTAGATATTTAAATAAAATATACATGGATGAGTCCTATGATACTATGAACTTTTAAAGATAAACCCACGCGCATGTGATCAGTCTATCTCTTTTGCACGTGTGACGTCACTTGGCGACAAATATCACCAGAAATGTTCTGTTTTGCATGGAGTTTTGTCAGATTTAGTATTGTTTTATCGTTTATCTAGTACGTTGACAAATAAATGTGTGCACTTTTAGATAAAATATATTTCAAAATATTAAATTAAGATAAACTTTTATCACCAAGTGACGTCATGCGCATCGATGTACAAAATTCGATTGCGAAGTGGTTTTATATTGTAAGTCATAGTATTATGGATGAGTTTACACTATAATAAATTTACTCGCCACTGCATTCGTCTCCCATCGCCGTATGTACTTCCACAGTCATATACTTTTGATCCAATAACCGTATTACCCCAGTCAAGGAATAAAAGAAGGTGACAAAATGTTATTCGCGAGGAACCGCAAAGTGGGCGACGCCTGGTGGTAGATTTCAAAAGCATCCACTTCCGGAAAACCTTGAAAACACCTGAAACTAAATTGGTAATACTGAAGAAAAATGCTGTTCCATCAGCTAAATTGCCAGAACGGTCTCACGAAGTTATTAGTAGAAAACGTAAGGCGTAATTTAAAAAATATGACGTGACCAGCTCCAAAAACTGCCTCACCCTCAACTAAAGATCTCTGGCGATCTTGCAACCACATAAATAATTGAGATAATGTAAATTTTACTTCTCGTGTTTCAGACACACTGTAAAAAAACAAACATTTAATTTTATTTTTATTCAGGTTTGGTAGTCAATTACCTTGTGTGTAAACTCGAATCACATAACCCCCTCTGAGGCTCAGTGGTAAGAGCGCCTGCCTTTAAACCTAAAGGTCGTGAGTTCGAATCCCACCTGGGTGGAAATTTTCGTTTATTAAAAAAATTAATAAATGAAAATAATTTCTATCCTTGTGTGATCGGTACATACCGGAGGGACCGCAGACGTTCGGATACAATTAGCGTCTCTTAGCAAAGACAATGACGTCGACTTTGCTAAGTATCAAGACAATTACTCTACACACACAAAACACACACACACACAAAACACACACACACACACACACACACACACACACACACACACACACACACACACACACACACACACACACACACACACACACACACACACTACATTAATAAACTTATCTTGATTGAGACTGGCTGAATGACAATTGTCCAAGCCAAAACACACACAAAAAAAAACTCGAACAAATGAAGAACGTACTCCCAACTTTTACTTTGGCAAAACACACGTGTAAATAATTTATATCAAAAGTTTATAGCTTCGATATCAAATGGCAAAATGATTTGTTTTCCCGAAGTGATCATCCATCTGTGAAATTTTAAGCGCCCCTGTCGGAATTAGATATTTGGTTTTAGAAGCTAGCTGATGAAAAATCCGCGAAGAAAAAGTTTCTTTTACATTATAGAAAAAAGTTGTAGATAAAAAAATGTTCTTTATTTTGAGAGTTTCCAAATTAAATTAAAGTAAATTAAAGAACTTTTTTTGATATATTATAATTTGTATTTGAACTATTTTTTTTATAAAATGTATAAGAAACCTTTTATACGCAAAAACCTTTTTTTGTTACTTTTTACGATTGTTTTATAAAAAGGTATACGTCTTCACATAATTGTCAGCTAAACTTTAAATACACTGGACCAAAAAATTACTGCACGCATAATTTGGGATTAAATTGACCAAGAAGAAATCAGAACGATTATTCTCAGTATGAGAGATCGTTGTCAAGCAGTAATAAATGCCAGAGGAGGCAATACTCGATACTAGTACACGGTGCTAGTATTTTCTTCAATTTTAAAATTTCAATTTCGTCATTAATTTATAATGTTTTAGTTTGTTTAGATCAGTTGTTTGTTTAGATGTTTAGATTTATGATGTTATATTGGTAATTTCAATACATTGTTAGTAAAAAAAGTTTTTTATTTAAGATGTTTTAAAACAACCATAAAGCAGAAAAGAACAAACAAACATTTTTTCATTACAACTCAAAATAAGAATTTTGAAATAATGCTTTAATTTTGGAGTATTTGTACAAGAATTTTTCAGCTTTTTTTTTCAAAACAGTATTTCTGATTTTGTATTTTTAAGCATCTTTAATCCGTGTATTAGAACCAAGGACACTACTGAAATATACTTGTTATTTAACACATATGAGCCTTTAAATTTTCCCATTTCTCAATTAGAGTATACAGTAGCATTATCAAATCTCAAAGAAACTAGCACTGGCCCGGACGATATTCCTAGTATTTTTATCAAACTCTTTCCAGTTAACGCTAACAAACAACAAACAACAGCCTGGCACGATTACGTAATAAAAAAAACACGTAGTTGGAACTTCCAAGGTTACTACCTCTTCTTTATTTAAAACTTTCTTCAAAATAGAGATTTCAGAGTTAGGACGCGGATGATCTTGTAATTTTTTGCAAAGGCAAAAATATACAAAATATATTTTGTCGCACACAGAACTTTATACACTTAGAACTTTGGTCACAAAAAACAGGTTTCTTTTGCTCCACTGAAAAAACTCGTTTCATCCTGTTTTCTAAGAAAAATGTCACAAAGACCCATAACCTAAGACTATGTGATGAGAACCTAAAACGCGTAACGTCAATAAAGTTCTTGGGCATGACATTCGAAGAAACTTTAAGCTGGAAACTTCATATAACAAATTTGATCTTATCTTGTTACAAGCGATTAAATCTTCTAAAAACTATGGCCAATAAAGAATGGGGTGTGGATCGCCAAACATTTTTTGATGTTATACAGAACATTAATCAGATCAAAATTAGATTATGGATCTACTGTGTATTCTACAGCCACTAAGACACTGCTAAAAAAACTTGACAGTCTTCACAATCTCTCTTTACGTATAATATCTGGAGCTTTTCGCACAACACCAATCGAAAGTATTTATTGTGAAGTTGGTGAACGTCCCTAGAAGACAGAAGACTTTATTTAAGTGTAGCATACGCCGCAAAAATCAGGTCTAACTCAAAAAACCTTACTATTCAAAACTGTTTTACAGAAAAGTCCCCATTTCTCTTCATAAATAAGCCAAGAACGGCCAAACCCTTCTACGCAAGGATTAGAAGGTACTTAAATCAATTAAACTACACGTTCCCAGAATGCTTTCCCCCCAATCGTCCTCAATTCCTCCATGGCAAATAAAGAACCCTCAGTGCCTAACCCGCCTCATTTCTTTCGACAAACATTCAACAAAACCAGTTAATCAAATCCGCCTTCAATGATATGCTTCACAACTACAAGGACTCAAGGATTCACAACATCGACAAATAAATACAAACTCCCTTTAGAGTACCCCATTTACTCTGTTGAACTATACGCTCTATACCAGGCTACCATTGCCGTCAACGCATCCAATAATACCAATTATATTATATTCTCAGATTCTCTAAGTTCCGTACGGTCAATCCAATATGTCTATCCAACATACCTTTGGTCATCAAGATAAAACAAGAAGTTTATACCGCTCAAGTGAATGGAAAAATATATTTTTCTGCATACCATCCCATATTGGAATTCAAGGAAATGAAGAGGCAGACAACGCGACAAAAGAAGCTGCAATTATGCGGAGCGTACTGAAACATTTACGAGTGTTGACGTTAAAGCTGCAGTCAAACGTAAAGTGCGATATATGTGGGAAGAAAAGTGGAAAGTGTCATCGGCCAAGCTACGCGATAGTAAAAAATCCAAGATGTGACAACTGTGAAGAAAAGTGAACAATCAAACATTTACTAAAGAAATGTCCAGCATTAACATCAAAGCGCATGTTGTACAATATACCCAACAAACTAAGTGATATTTTAGGTCTACAGTGCAGTATGTCAAACCTAAAAAGTTTCTTAACTTCAATTAACATTCTAAACGTCATCTAAACATATAAATATAATACAAATTATTGTTTGCTACTATTGTTTCGCTAATAGCCAATTTGGCTGATGCGATTTTGTTAATAAAAAAAAACTTGTTATTGTTACAGATTGTGATAGCATTTTAGTCGTAATTTTCATGATTACCCTCGTAGTAAGACAACAATTGTGACGCAAATATTGTAAACACGAACATTCAACGTCGATCGTTTTAACTTTCTATTATAAATTATATCAACAGTTCTTTCGTTTGTTAGATTTATTAAATCACTTTGTATTATTTAAAACAGCTTCTTATCTTAATTATTTAAAACATATAATGTAATTTGATATCTCCGATGTTACCATAAAGTTAAATCAAATAGAAATACATTGTGTATTGCTTCTACATTGAGATTATTTGTGGACGTGTTTGTGCGATCGACGTATTATGGCGAAAGTGAGTGTAGATTTGCCAGATATCGAGGTAAGTAGACAAATAAAAGTTATATTTCTAAAGTTGCAATATCTGTCTATGAATTGTAATTATTTTTGGAGAATTACAAGACAATCGTTGCATTTTTAATTGGAAAAAATATGACAAATTGTTTGTTCAACGTTTCGGCTTTTTTAATTGGAAGCTGTGCGTGAAAAACAACAATGATAGAAGAATATAACTGAAATAATTTCAATAACTACGAAACTTTAATTAATCAAGGCTTTTTGCACCATTTTTTTCCACTCCTTTCAATCGCGCTATCCTTCTTTTTTTATTTTTTCTCATATTTCCACATGCTTTTTTGAGAGCTGTCTCCTCTTTGTAACGACTATTTTGCTTACCACAGGGTAAGAATATGGGGGACAAGATTGGGCAAACAAAATAATCGAAACAAGTGCATACGACACTCAGTTGGTTGTTGGAGAGCTGGGTCGTGGATAAGTTGAAGATATTGGGGGTTAGATTGGGGCAACTACAAAAAAAGAAATAAAGGGGTACTTATACAAATCTCTTGGGACAAACAGAATGAAAATAAACGGAAACACCTCAAGAAATTTAATATAGGGCGCCACTTGAGGTGCCTAATTATACCTATTACAACCACTAGTTGTAACTAGGGAAATAATTATGAACATCAAAAATATAGAAAAAAGTTTCTTTTTCAAATAAAACTCAAAATAGATCAGAGAAACAAATTGAACGTTTATTCTTGTCTCAAACAAAACAGATCAAAAATACATATTATAAAAGAAACATATCATATAACATAATACAAATAACAAAAACTTACATGTTCTTTGTTTACTATATTATGGCCAATTAGATTATCAAAAATTAAGGATCCTTCTTAATGAAAACATATAAATTTAACCTTATATATGAAATATCGTTTCTACATAATAATCAAATTAAAATTGTCATAACAAAAAAACAAATTAAGCTTGCTGTCAGGTATCACATTTAATTTTGATGACAAAGAATGAAAGCAATTATTACTTTAGCCAAAAAATATCTGTCTTTACTTTGAAAAATTAATATATTGAATTGTTACCTTAATGTTTTTTTTATACAAACACTTTGAAACTTTACATCTATGGGGAAGCTACTCGGACAAAACTTTCAAAACTGGAAGGCAGCAACCATCAGGAACTAGTTCTACACTCCAGGACAAAACGATTGGAACAGGAACTTGGTGGAAGAATCGAGTTGACTACGGGGACATCCTCTGGTATCTGCACAACTCCTTTAAATATTTAGTGGTTACCCTTTTCTAAATCTGTCATATTACAGAGAGTAATTGTTCCACTATTTAACAAAATTTGTCGACTTTTGCAAACTACATAACTAATACGTCTGTCCACTCTAGCTGCCCTATAAAACCTTCATATTTCGTTACTCTTCTCAACCTCGTCGACTCTATTGTCCATGTCTGCCCTGTTTGAAATCTCTAAATCGACCTACTGTCACATGTCTGCCCTGTTTGAAATCTCTCAGTCGACCTTATTGTCACATGTCTGCCCCGCTTGGAACTTAAATCTCGACTCCCTTGCTTCGTTACATTTTACCAGAATCTAGCCAAAAATTTCCCTTCCGTCTTGCAGCCTGTCGCCGACCCACTTAAAACCAAAACAAATATTCCCTCCTCTTATCGACAAAAAAAACAACTTTTAAATGTTCCTTTATTGCCTAAACAAACAAATATTCTTTTTTTTGACCCTCGTCTAATAACGAAAAACAACTTTAATATTAGGGGAATTCATGGTTTATTGCGTTTTAACATAATACCTCTTTGGCGACAAAAAACTTGTTATTTTACCTAACATTGCAACACAGAGATAAAAACATATTTCCAGCGTTAATACGCATTTAAAAATCTCGTCAAAAAAACTTGAAATATTATTTCGATTGTTTTCTTTGGTAAAAACAACAGGAGCGTAACACAGAAATCTTTTATATACACAATAAATAAAAAAAAACGCTACATCTTTATCCACTTCTCTTCCATTTTTTCTATTGTCTGTGGTTAATTTTATTTCCTGTAGTGATTTAGAGTAACACCCCTTACATCTTCTTCTTCGCGTGCCATATCAGAATTATCCGACGTTGGCGATCACCATTGCGAAGGCTTCTCGATCTTCTGCAATATGGAATAATTGTCCTGCATTTGGTACCTGAGTCCATTCACGAATATTTTTTAACCAAGAAACTTGTTTTCTTCCTACACCTCTACGGCCCTCTATTTTGCCTTTAAGATCAGTTGTAATATTTTCCTTGCTGTCCAATGTATCTTCAGCATTCGTCTATGAACCCACATTTCCAATGCTTCAATTTGTTCATGATCGATACTTTTAGCGTCCACACTTCTGCACTATACAAAAGTACGGACTCCGTTTAATTGAAGCTTTGCATTGGGATATAGGTCACGACTAAACACTAAAAATTTGGTTTTATTTGAGTTTATTTTAATACTCATTTCCTCTCCTACCTCGTGAATACGATCAAGCAGAATTTGGAGACCTTTTTATTATTATTCCATATGGTTATCTCTCAAGTGCCATTTTAAATAACTGGTCCGAGTAAACATTGAACAATGTTGGCGACAAAATGCAACCTTGTCTGACTCCTCGTTCTATAGAGATTTCATCGGTGTAGTTATCTCCAATTTTTACGATAGCAGTGTGATTCCAGTACAAATTTTTAATGACACGAATATCCTTGTTATCTATTCCGATATTTTCCAGTATTTACATTAATTTTACATGCTGTACTTTATCGAATGCCTTTTCGAAGTCCACGAAACATGCAAATACATCTTTTCTTTGGTCACGGCATTTTTAGAATAGGATGTTAAGTGCCTCCCTGATTCCCATAGCATTTCTAAAATCACATTGGATATCTTAGAGATCTTCTTCGCATTTGCGTCTAATTCTGTTGTGAAGTATTCTTAGGAATACATCCTCCATTTCGTCGCACCTTTCTTTTATTCATTTTTCTTTGGCTAATTTGATCTCTTTTTTTATTCTTCTCTGCAGGTGTCTATATTCTGTTTCATTAGATTTTATCAGTCGACGTTGTTCAATTAATTTCAAGATGTCGTCTGTCATCCATTTATTTTTCTTGATTAAGTTTTTTTATAATCATTGTTTGTGAAGATTTCGTTAACTTGGTTTTTAAATTCACTCCATAGTTGTTCTCCGATATTTTTTATTCTATTGTTAAATTCTTTTTTAATGTTATGTTTTATGTTTATATCGTCAAAGTTAAGTACATTGGTTTTTGGTTTTTGTCGCTGAATTCGTTTTAACCTTAGTTTAATATCTGCTACAAGTGGTTGATGATCAGATCCAATATCTGCCCCAGGAAATGTAGTGACTTTTTTGACGGCATTTCGGAAACGCTCATTTACAAGTATATAGTCTATTTGATTTCTTGAGGACTCAGGGTTATTGCCATCATCAAATGGGGCTTTCCAAGTGTATAGTCGTCGCTTGGGTAGTTTATAACAGGTGTTTGCAATGATCATATCGTTTTCTTTACAAAATTCATACAATCTCTGTCCTCGATCGTTAGGTTGTCCTAGACCATAAGGACCTACAGTCTGACCTCGTCGACCTTCCCAATTTTTGCATTGAAGTCGCCTATAATATATAAAATTTCGTGTTTATTAAGTTTCTGTAAGATGTCTTGGATCTGATCATACAACTTCTCGACTTTATCGTCATATTCTCTCTCTGCAGTCGGGGCATAGATTTAAAGTATGTTAGTTAAATGGTTGAATATTTATTTGGAGTAATATTATTCTATTCGAGACTGGTACGAAATTGGTCACAGATTTACTCAGTTCTGATGTTACTAATATACCTACACCATTTTTGTGATGCTGGTCTTCTGTATTGTTACTGGAATAATATAATGTTATATTTTTATAGTTCTAATTTATTGTCTTTATTCTAATTTATTAAAACTCACGGTAATTTATTATCAATTTATTAAATAACTGTACAACTATTTATTACGTTCGTACATTTAAATACGCGAGCTCGAATTTATCTTCTTACTGACTTCCTCAATAAAAATCCATGCCATTTATATGAAATGCCGTCTCATAGGATCTTTCGTGAAGTAGACGGAAGTTGACCTGAATAGTCTCGAACTGGTTTTTTTTATAGCGGCCTGTTTCCAGAAAGATCGACCGCTTTCATATCGGAGGGGAACACATCGTGTCAGGTATATGTCTGCCAGCTGATCGAAAGGTCTCGTCCATTCTACAACATATTTAGTAAATAAACAACATGTTTACAGGTTTATTTATTTTAATATGACTAATTTTTACGTAACAATAATACACTTCCGTCCTTTTTACATGATCCTGACTCTGGCCATCTCATTTCGCTGATTCCCAGTAGGTCTATTTTCATTCTTTTCATTTCTGGAATTGCGTTGTCAAGTTTCCCAGTCGCAAATAGACTTTAAACATTCCATGTGCACATTCTAATATTTAACGAAATATTTAAATTAATTGCTAATTTATTCATAATCAAAATATTGCATTGTTTTATACCTAAGTAAGTTTTACTTATATACAAAATATCCGACTGTCGGTCGGATAGCTCAGCGGGCTGTGTGGCTGCCTCTCATTCGCTTCACTGTCGAATGGTTTAGTGGATGTGGGTCGAGCCCCAGCTCGGTGTACAGAAAACAAAAAGTCTAACGCAGCAGTTTAAAATTCTAGATGAATCTGCGGCTTAGACTAGGATATGCTGGGTTCTGATCGGCCTATGGTGGAGCAGTACGGCAAGAGATAAGGTTGCGGTGAACTCCATAGATCCCTACCGGACGGGCGTAACGCCTAAAAAACCGGATATATATATATATATATATATATATATATATATATATATATATATATATATATATATATAAGTTTTACACAAAACACCCATAAACATTCTATTTAAATTAGATATAGTTCTTAGTATACAAAAGTA